AGATATACTTTTATTGATTGATCCTTTTTCATAGCTTAGGGTACCACTTAATGAATGTGTGAATATTCTTGAATATTCTGCAAGGCTTATAATGCTTAGCCCTTGACTGCTTCCTACCTCTGTAGGAAAATTTTTTGCTTTGAGAATTGTTAAGCTTTATGATCCTCAGCCATTCTCAGTAGTTTTCCTTTTCTGACTTTATTCTTATATAACAGGATTCTGCCTGTAATTTTAAGAAACCATTACGTCATATTTCTGGAGTCCTTTTCCTGCATAACTCCCTTTTCTCTGATGCTCTCTTGATGTAGCATCGGCTTTCCCAAATCCCGCCCTTTTCCTTAGCTTATCACAGTGACAGTGCTTTCCTCACCTTTGGCACCAAGCCCAGAAATTGCCTCCAGGAAGAAAACCAAATGATTTTAGGCCTCACCTTTGTGGTAGTCTCTAAAATTCTCAGACCTGTGTAGCCAGACTTGCCCTGCCAGACAGTGTAATACATTTTAGACATGTGTGTAATTGTTTATAGTGTGAAGTGAAGTCCAAACACCAACAACTAATATGACTAAATTATTCTAACTATTTTGTGTATAATATTGGGTAAGAGGCTGTTTGGAGCAAACTTGTCTTTCCATTCACCACGTGGTCAGTGATTATGAGAGAATATCTCTAGCTATGAGATGGCTTGTTTTTCTCATGCCTGATAGAACTGACTTCTTTACTGAGTTGTTCAAACTCTTGATCTAGAAAGTAAAAGAGGAGTGGTAAAAAAATAATATTGTTTATTTCTGCTAATTATTGAAGGAATAATTGTTCTCGACAAAAAAGATAAAGAGATACATTAATATCCTGTATTAAAGTAGCTGATGCTATCTTTCTGTTACAAGCTACTCACGGTTATTAGCATAGCAAAGGGTACCTAGACAGCTGCTAAAAATTATCAGTTTACCTCAACTTATGACCTGAAGTCATTTAACAGTTTCCTTCACTAGGAGGGGTAAGTCATCTGGAGGAAATTTGCTATTTGCATGAACAGTATGTAATGTGTACTTCATTTTTTTTTATGGATTTCTCTTATAAATTACTAAGCCTTAATTTTGTCAATTGGTGTGCCCTACATAACTATGAACTGAAATTTGTTTCCTTGGGCATGGTAACACAAAGTTCTCAATCACTATACATTTTATAATACTTCTATGAATATTTGTTTTAATACGGAAAGTAGGAAAAATGAAAAATATTGTAGAAAGAAATGGATAGAAATCTTTACTAAGGAGCTTAATATGGTGATAGCAAGTATTTGAATTCTGTAATCACAGAGTCTTTCTTCTCAGTGGCTTTGTGTGTTCAAGGTTATTTCCTACTTTCTCTTCTACTAGATATATTGTATCTAGTTTTACTTTGAGATCTTTGATCCATTTGGACTTGAGTTTTGTGCAGGGTGTTAAATATGGATCTATTTGCATTCTATTGCATGCAGATAGGAATTTTGACCAGCACCATTTGTTGAAGATGCTCTCCTTTTTCTATTGTATGGTTTTTGGCAAGTGTCCAAAGGTTTGTGAGTTTATATCTGGGTCTAAGACTTGATTCCATTGGTTCATCTGTTTCTATACCAATACCATGCAGTTTTGATTACTGTTGCTCTGTAGTACAGCTTGTGATCGGGGATAGAGAAACCTCCAGAAATTCTTTTATTATTCAGTACTGTTTGAGGGTTTTTTGTTCTTCCATAGGAAATTGAGAATTGTTCTTTCAAGATTTTTAAAGAATTGTGTTGGGATTTTGATTGGGATTCCATTGAATTTGTAGATGGCTAGTGGTAAGATGGCCATTTTCTCTATTTTAATCCTACTGATTCAGGAGCGTGGGAGATCTTTCTATCTTCTGATATCTTCCTCAATTTCTTCAGAATCTTGAAGTTCTTATCATACAGGTCTTTTACTTGCTTGGTTAGAGTTACAACAAGGTATTTTATATTATTTGTTGGTATTATGAAGGATACTGTCTCCCTAAAGTCTTTCTCAGCATGTTTATCATTTGTGTAAATGAGGGCTATTAATTTGTTTGAGTTAATTTTGTGTCCGTCTACTTTGCTGAATGTATTTATCAATTGTAGGAGTTCTCTGGTAGAATTTTTTTTGGGTCGCTTATGTATGCTATCATATCATGTGAATAACAATATTTTGACTTCTTCCGTTGTAATTTGTATCATCTTGATCTCCTTTGGTTGTCTTATTGCTTTAGCTAGAACTTCAAGTACTATATTGAAAAGGTAGGGGGAGAGTGGACAACCTTGTCTTGTTCCTGATTTTGGTGTAAATGCTTTAAGTTTCTCCCCATCTAGTTTGATGTTGGCTACTAGTTTGCTATATATTGCATTTAGTATGTTAAGTATGGGCCTTGAATTTCTGATCTTTCGAAGACTTTTACCATGAAGGATGATTTCTTTCTCCAGAGACTTGAAGTTATTGTAATACAACTCTTTACTTTGCTTGGTTAGTGACACACCAAGTATTTTATATTATTTGTGACTGTTGTGAAGGGTGTTCTTTCCCTAAATTTTTTCTCAGCCTGTTTATCCTTTGAATAGAGGAAGGCTATTGATAGGTAGGTAGTTCAATGGCTATTTCATAATGATTAAACAGTAGAGAATCTGCTAGGTGTTCAGTTCACAGTGCTGGGTTTCTCAGCAGTCTCAGTCAGGTGCTGGAGTCACTGAGCATTCCTGAAGAGCTGGTAGTCTTTAATCTATGTTGTAATCTTGACTAAGGTACATGTAATATTAACCACAGCAACAGGATAGACAAACTTGGTAGCAGGCATAAAGCAGTTTCCTTCTTTCATACCCTTTTATGTGGGCTGCCAGAGAGCATGAACCAGGTTTAAGATGAGGCTTCCTGTTCCATCTGCTGAATAAAATCCCTCACACGGTTTGGAGCAGCTTCAGTTTTAGTTGATTCTACATGGAGTCAAGATGATAACCATGATCAGCCATCACATGTTATATTTCTCTAACTCCTAGTGGATGAGTGATTTTGTTACATAGTTACATAAAGTATAAGGTCCAGAGCAGACACTTGTCCAATAGGCCAAATATAAATAGGCTAATTTAGAAGTATATTATGAAAATAAAGAATTGTCTCTGGTTTTATAGTTTATATTGATATAAGGTTTAAATTAGATTAACTTTTTTCTCAAATTATGTTCCTCAAATATTTTGCATAGTCATGAATTCATGTGAGTTTAATGAATTCTATTGTTCTTTTTGCATAAATATATATCTAATCTCATTTACAATAAGTCATTTCTCTTGAAGTCGTGAGCCACTGTTGTGTTGCTTCATATATGGTTTTAAGTCTGAATTTATATGTTTCTGGTGTTATTTAGAGTATATTTAGTTACTGTCGTCTGGTGAAATGATAGGGACCATGGTATTAGCTATCTCATTAAATCTACTAGACTAATAACTAGATAGTCCAATATGTTATCACCTTTGAAATGACTGTCACATTCATTTTTCACACACATCTATGAAACTATTTCTAAAATAAAATGCATGTACATAAAAGAATTTGATCCTCCTTAAGGAAAGAAGGTGAGAAGGCTAAAGAGTCTATTTTAGATTACTGAATATGCCACCAAAGCAATCAACATCTTAACTTTTCCTCCCTCCCTCCCTCCCTCCTTCCCTCCCTCCCTCCCTCCCTCCCTCTGTCCCTCCCTCCCTTTCCTTCCTTTGTTCCTTCCTTCCTTCCTTCCTTCCTTCCTTCCTTCCTTCCTTCCTTCCTTTGTTCCTTCCTTTTACTCTTTCTTTCACAAAGAAACCTCATTTTGTTTTACAAAGACTTACATATGTTCTCACTGAAGCTGGTGTATGAGATATTTTGCCAACAGGTAATTACAGATGTCTTTGGGGGGAGAAATACTCTGACAATGATCATTCAAACTGCCCGTAAACATTTGCTCCTATTCTAGGCCTTCTGTCTTTGTTTATTGCCTACCAAATAAATACGTTTCATATTGCTGCTGTAACAAATTACCATTAGTTTCCTGTCTAGAAGTTATAAAATTGTAATTTTATTAAAAGCGATAAAAATCTCATAATTTCACGGATCAGTAGGAGACTTACCAGAGTAAAACCAAGGTATGGGTAAGCAATTTTAGGCTAGAAGAGAGACTGAATATCTTGCTTTTCATGTTGTTGGCAGAATTCAAAAGATGGATAGCATTGAACTCTCATGTTTATATTTAGCTGTAAGCTACAGATCTCCAGAAGACATATCTCTTGGCCTGTACTCTTCTTACCTTTCAAACTCAGCAAAGCTAATCCAGGCCTTCCTACCTGACCTCCCTGTAACATACCATACTTCTGTAACTTTCCACTTTTAAGAACATAGGTGATTTGAGTCGAACCACCTCATTAATCCCAGCTTTTTCTCAAAGCTCTTTTTCTCAAGGTCCTTAACCATAGTCATATGTGCCCTACCTACTGTTATCATGTGACCATACACATACAAATGTTCGGACTCAGGGGTGGACATCCTTGAGGAGACTATATTCCCTGACTCATAAACACAGGATTGACTGCACTTGCCCTGGCCTCGTTGGTTTTCCTTTTTTGCTCATAATACTTCTCATAGACTCTTCTTTCTTGCTTTAATGGGGCGAGATTTACAATTCCTTGAGCAGTTACATTATATGTGACACCTATGGAGACACCGTAAGTGAAACAGTTTCTAGAAACACTGGAAAACTTCAAATTATTCATTTCCAAAAGAGAAAGTCTTGTGTGTTTTTTGTGAATTTGTAAAATTGATTTTAATCCTTAGTAGCCATCCTAGCAGCAGAAGGTAAAGCATTAACAACTGGGTAAGAGTCTGTATGTGGCCCACAACATTTGCAGGAGAAGCAATAACAGTGACTTCAGTAATTTATCACAGAAAATCTGTGTTGAGAGTGGATGATATTGGATCTTAATATTTTATTTCTTTCCTCCTTAGATCATCACAAGATACGTTTATGAGCTACTGGAAAATGACTGTAATTTGAAAAAAATCTCTATTCCAGTAAGTTCAATTTTCAAAAATGTTTATTCCAAATAAAATGCCTTGCTTCATATAAAATTGTTTTCAATCCAGGAGAAAATTTTTATTGTGGGTTTACTGTGCAAAGGTTAAAAATAAAAGTGCTAGTTTATTGATACTAGTAAGTCAATGCCTGTCAGTGTCCTTACTCTTCTGTAATAGTCCTTACAAACTAACTCCCCTAATACAAAAGATGAGCAATGCTGATGGTAAGTCTACTAAGATGGTGGCAGAAAGAGTTCTCCGTTTCCTTTTCTCATTTCACCTATTGTTTTTATTTTTTTCATATTTGTTTCCATGTACCTTGCATTGTAATAAGTATTCATTAACTCTTTGAGTATTGTTTGATTCTTCAAAACACATTTCCTTTTTTAAAATTTTTATTTAACTTTATATATTAATGAGTATCTTGTCTACCTGTATGTGTGTGGCCCACACAGACCAGAAGAGGGCATCAGATTCCCTGGAACTAGTGTTAATATGGAGTATGACCATGGGCTGATGCTGGGAATTAAACCTGGGTCCTCTGTGACAGTGGCCAGTGCTGCTCCTACCACTGAGCTATCTGTAGTCCCTTATTGCTACACAAAATACTCCCCCCACCGTCTACACATTAACAAAGTCACTCCTGATTTTTTTTTTAAATATTGCTTGTTTTCTTTTTAGTAGAAGAAGGTTTGGAAATTTTGTATACTTTTGAAATTTTGGAATGTAAATGTTTGCCATTTGTTTTTAGACTCAAATTCTAAACAAAACATCTATCATTGTTTAGACTTTTAATTGAATTACAACATTGCTCCCTTCCTCCCTTTCCTCCCTCCAAATATTCCCCCCCCCCAGACTCCCCCCAGCCACTTAACTTTTTAAAATTTCTGGCTTCCTTTTTTCTTAGTTGTTATTGCATGCATGTATTTTTAATTTACATCACAAAACATTAAGCTTATAAAATAAATAAATAGTAATCTTCTGTATAAAATGATTGTTGGACTAGATTAGATTATTTTTGCTGCTCCTGACAACTCTTTTATGATATGAGTCCAGATGACAATGGAATTGATTTATTTCATATGCAAAACTTTACATATAGATAGTTTCACTGAACTTTTTCAGAGTATTCTTAATATCTTGTGTCATGTTATTGAGGAGTTTGAAGATATATTGCTTCTTAAAATTCTCACCTTTGATTGCAAAGTTCCAGTAAAAACTATTTTCCATTTAATCTTTTGTAGGTAACTTCTAGTTATAGAAATTAATATTATTCATTAATGATCATTCAAGTCAATAAATGCTTACTGAAGTCACTCTTGCTACTTGTGATATAATCGTAAAGGAAATGTTATTGCATGTACAGATAGCTCATTGCTTGCTCTAGTTTGAAACATTGCTTCTTTCAGGAAAGCCTGGAAGTCTAAATTTTAGCTTTTGTTTTTTGTTTTGCAATCGGTATGGTTGTCCTTTGGGGAGTCAAAACTCTTGACTTCAGGCCTTCTTTCATTTTTTTTTTCTTATAAATAACGACATTTAATTGGGGCTATTTTATGGGTTTATGGGTTTAGAGATTCAGTCTGTTATCATCATGGCAGGAAGCATAGGAATGTCCTGCAGGACTGGTACTGGAGAAATAGCTGAGAGTTCTGTATCTTATTCTGAAGGCAAACAGAAGACTGGTTTCAAGGCAGCTAGAAGAAGGGTCTCAAAGCTCACACTCACAGTGAGACATTTCCTCCAAGAAGTCCAAACCTACTCCCACAAGGCAACATCTCATAGTGCTACTCCCTGGGCCAAGCATATTCAATCTACCCCATTCTACTTCCTGGTCTCCATTGGCTTGTTCAAACACATGAGTTTTTATGGGGGCCATATCTACACATAGCATAATGCAAAATACATTTAGTCCAGCTTCAGAAGTCCCATAGTTTATAGCAGTCTCAACAATGTTAAAAGTCCAGAGTTCAAAGTCTCCAAAGATTCATCCAATCACTTAACTGCAAACCCTAATAAAATCAAAATAAAAAAGTAGATCACATACTGCTATCATAGGATATACTATTATAAAACTTCATACTGGACCAAAAGAAGACCAAAAACCAGCTGGGCAAATTCTAAACTCTGCATCTCCATGTCTGAGGTCAAATTGCTCTTCAGATCTGCAAATCTTTTCAGCTTTGTTGACTACAACACAATTCTTTCTCTTTGGCAGCTTTTGGCACTTATTCCAGGCTGGCCTACTTTCTTATTCTGTAAACACTGTGTATTGAAGCTGGATATTGTGGCGCATGCCTTTTATCCTAGACCATGTTTGGGAGATGCTGGCAGATCTGTGTGAGATTGAGGACAGCCTGGTTCTCCTATTGATTTCCAGGCCAACTGGGGCTAAATAGTCAGATGTTATCAAAACAAGCAAGCAAACGACCTGTATAAATTTGTTCCTTCTGAAATTTAAAGGAAAACTTTATTACTTTATTCAGTTTCTGAAGAAGAACCTTAAAGACTGTTAGGCTCTTGAGACCGTTTATATTTTGTCCTTTGACTATAACGTTTCTGCTTCTCTGGAGGTTTTGAAGTGCGCTTTGCTCTCTAGATTTAGAGACAAATTACAGCTGGCTAAACGAGAGTGGTTTGGGGAGAATTTTTAAATTTTCAAAAGAGAAAACATGAAATTAGATTCAGAACTTTGTTTTATAAATTTGGTAATTCTCACTTTAATATACAAATTAAGTAAGTTTAGAGATTCATCTTATATGAGATGAAATAAGTAGTATTTATTTTTGGTCAATAAATCCCTTTGTAAGCTTAAAAAGTCTGTCTTTCATAAGTGATTATATGTTATATAATGTGGAACTCTTCAATAACAATAAAAGAAACTTTACTAAAGCTCAAAACACACATTACACCTCACACAATAATAGTGGGGGATTTCAACACCCCGCTCTCAGCAATGGACAGATCATGGAAACAGAAACTAAACCGAGATACTTTGACATTAACAGAAGTTATGAACCAAATGGACTTAACAGACATCTATAGAACATTTCATCCTAAAACAAAAGAATATACCTTTTTCTCAGCACTTCATGGTACCTTCTCCAAAATAGACTGTATAATTGGTCACAAAACAGGCCTCTACAGATACAAAAAGATTGAAATAATCCCTTGCATCTTATCAGATCACCATGGACTAAGACTGGTCTTTAATAATGACAAAAGCAATGGAAAACCCACGTGCACATGGAAACTGAACAACTCTCTACTCAATGATGACTTGGTCAAGGAAGAAATAAAGAAAGAAATAAAAGACTTTTTAGAATTCAATGAAAATGAGGACACATCATACCAAAACTTGTGGGACTCCATGAAGGCAGTGCTAAGAGGAAAACTCATAGCTCTAAGTGCCTACAAAAAGAAACTGGAAAGAGCACACACACTAACAACTTGACTGGACAACTAAAAGCTCTAGAACAAAAAGAAGCAAATACACCCAGGAGGAATAGAAGGCAGGAAATAATCAAACTCAGGGCTGAAATCAACCAAATAGAAACAGAAAGAACAATACAAAATATCAATAAAACCAGGAGCTGGTTCTTTGAGAAAATCAACAAGATAGATAAACCGTTAGCCAGATTAAGCAGAGGGCACAGAGACAGTATCCAAATTAATAAAATCAGAACTGAAAAGGGAGACATAACAACAGAAACTGAAGAAATTAAAAAAAAATCATCAGATCCTACTACAAAGGCCTATATTCAACAAAACTGGAAAACCTGGATGAAATGGACAGTTTCCTAGACAGATACCAGGTACCAAAGTTAAACCAGGAGCAGATAAACCATCTAAATAGTCCTATAACCCCTAAGGAAATAGCAGCAGTCATTAAAAGTCTCCCCACTAAAAAAAGCCCAGGACCAGAGTTAGAAAAGGAAATTCTCAAATTCATATGGAATAACAAAAAACCCAGGATAGCGAAAACTATTCTCAACAATAAAAGAACTTCTGGAGGAATCACAGTCCCTGACCTCAAGCTGTACTACAGAGCAATAGTGATAAAAACTACCTGGTATTGGTACAGAGTCAGGCAGGAAGGTCAATGGAATAGAATTGAAGACCCAGAAATGAACCCATACTCCTATGGTCACTTGATCTTTGAGGAGCTAAAACTGTCCAGTGGAAAAAGGACAGCATTTTCAACAAATGGTGCTGGTTCAACTGGAGGACAACATGTAGAAGAATGAAAATTGATCCATTCTTATCTCCTTGTACAAAGCTCAAGTCTAAGTGGATAAAGGACCTCCACATAAAACCAGATACACTGAAACTAATAGAAGAGAAGGTGGGGAAGACCCTCGAATACTTGGGCACAGGGGAAAAGTTCCTGAACAGAACACCAATGGCATATGCTCTAAGATCAAGAATTGACAAATGGGACTTCATAAAATTGCAAAGTTTCTGTAAGGCAAAGGACACTGTCAATAGGACAAAACGACAACCAACAAATTGGGAAAAGATCTTTAACAATCCTACATATGATAGAGGGCTAATATCCAATATATACAAAGAACTCAAGAAAGTAGACACCAGACAACCAAATTACCCTTTTAAAAAATGGGGTATAGAGCTTAACAAAGAATTTTCAATGGAAGAAACTCGAATGGCCGAGAAGCACCTAAAGAAATGTTCAATGTCCTTAGTCATCAGGGAAATGCAAATCAAAACAACCCTGAGATTCCATCTCACACCAGTCAGAATGGCTAAGATTAAGAACTCAGGTGATAGTAGATGTTGGCGAGGGTGTGGAGAAAGAGGAACACTCCTCCATTGTTGGTGGGACTGCAAGATGGTGCAACAACTTTGGAAATCAGTGTGGCGGTTCCTCAGAAAATTGGACATAGCATTACCCGAGGATCCAGCTATACCACTCCTAGGCATATACCCAGAAGATGCTCGAACATATAACAAGGACATATGCTCAACTATGTTCATAGCAG